TCAAGTACTGTTGTAAGCACTTTGTAAGGTAAATCATTGTACTAGCCCCATTTTACAGATGAGGGAATTAAGTCGTATCAAGGTTATATGGCTTACTCAAAGACACACAGCTGGCAAATGATAGAGTGAGGATTCAGTCCCAGGCAGTCTGCAAATCACAATGCCACACTGCCTTCTGGGATTGTTTTAATTGTGTCTAAAAAGCAGACTCTTTAAGTGTCCCCAGGTTCACCCCTACAAATCCTCACTGTTTTGTAGAAGGGAATATTAGCCAGGGAGTACTCACTTCGTGAGCCTTAATCAGAACCTGGTGTGGAGAGGGCAGAGGAGAAATAGAAGATTTCGTTTAAAACGATCTTTCGATGACTTAGTGTAGGTGTTTGTTGTTTTGTTTTGGTACTAGAAATTTAACCCAAATGTGCTCTACCACTGAGCTATATCCCCAGCTCATGTGTATTTTGATTTTGAGACAGGATTTTCACTAAGTTGCTGAGGCTGGCCTTGCATTTGTAGTACTCCTGCCTCAAATCCCAAATTGCTGGGAACCACCCCTGTCCTGAATGTAAGTCTTAAAAGGGCTAAGAAATACAAGTCTATTGGATACTTTCATATACTGTAAGCAATTCCAATATTTTTAATAAGTTAAGACATTGTTTAATTCATCTTTCTGTTGTTCATCCATTGTAGCTGCAAGCCCAAACCTGAAGTTTTTAATACCTTAAGATCTCCTATTCCATTTAAATATCCAGTCAACCAAAACAGTTCTATACTATTGCTTTGGAGAAATGTAGTTTTATATTTTGGGAAATAGAAAGATAGTTAAAATTGGGAAAGTCATTTTCTATGCAAATAAAACAATTTGGTTCCTTTTCAATCTTTTACATATTGAAAACAAAAGTTGAGTCAAAGCTATATGAGTTCTTGAAATTGACTTTAATAGATTTTTCATACCACACTCTTTCCTTCTTTCCTCTCCTCCTTTTCTTGTTCAGTAACGCATAACTTTGGGTTTTAAAATAACCCCCATTTGATATTTTATAATTTAAGTAGCAAAAGAAAGGAATCTGATTATAATGTAATTCATAAGTAATGTTCCTTCTGATTTTTTCCCCCAAATTGTGAACTAATGACCTTAGTACATGAACAATTTTTTAAAAGCCTTTGAAGGAGTGTAGTTACTCTGTTGTTTTGGAAACCTTTGTATTTATTTGACTGGTCTGAGCATTGTGTTCTACTGATTCTACTATGTAAGTTGCTTACTGTTTTTATGATGGAATGCATCATTATAATTTTTAAATCCTTACTAAGTAACTGACAAATTTTGCCAAAACCTGAAATAGCAATTTAGACCCTTTTGAGAAATGGCAAATAGTAGACCCTAGACAAAGAGAAAACAAGCATTTTAGACCTTTCAGAAATAGCTGGAGGGCTTCTAAAAAGAGGATTGAATTCATCTACTTTCATATCTCCCATAAAATGGAGAATGGGAATGTTTATTTTCCCTCTTTCCCCCAATCCCAGTAAAATAACACTCAATGGGTTGTCTTTTTTAAAAAATATTTTTTAGTTGTTGATTTTATTTATTTGTATGTGGTGCTGAGAATTAAACCCAGCATCTCACACATACCAGGCAGGCGTTCTTCCACTGAGCCACTACCCCAGCCCTAAATGGGGTTTTTTAAAGATACAAACCCACAAGGAAGAGAACAGTATTGGAGACAATGTTAACAAACCTTGATAAGTTGGAAAACAGATGAAGCAATAAATAACATGACAAAACCCTGAGCCAGCTGTGGGAAGCCAGAATCCCACCTGATTTATACTTTAGAACTTCTAAAAGACTGGCAGCATCAATACCCATAGAAGTGAGGTTAAAATGTTGCTAAGCTTGGGCAGACTGGTCAAAATCTGTTTAGAAAGAACTAAAAACCCCTACCCTATATCCCACAGCTGACTGATAATTCTTTCCCTATCCTGGCAAATGTGGGAGGATTACTCTAGAGAAATAGAAACTGTGCTGAGGAGCAGCAGCCCTGCTGAGGCAGAGGTCCCAGCATGAAAACAGCATGGTGAAGAAATGTCTGTGTGCCCAATGCTGAGATTCCCAACCCCCACCCCCACCCCCTCTCTGGCTACAAGAAAGCTTCCCTCTGGAGGCAGGAAATCAGAGGCCCTTTCCCTGGGAAAATGGGTGAGTTCAAGAGGAAAAACAGTTTTAGGTGGCCCAGCCAGATGACTATCAGTGAGGCTTATAGCCAGTGGACTCCACTTATATGCTGAGGGCTTTCAGCTAACATCTGTAAATGTGAGCAAATAATAGTGAATTACCAGGTAACTAGTGATCCAACCAGCCTGAACTCTGAAAGATAGAGACTGAAACAAACATAAAACATGACTTAGAGAAACAGAGGCAATACCGGAAAGACAGTGGCTGAAAAATCATAATATACATTAGAGTTCATTAATCCTTTTTTCTTCTTTTGTGAATGTTTAAACTTTCCATTACAATTTTGAAAACCTCTCATAAAAATAAGATATTGCAACTATAATAGAATATTTTAAAAAGGAACATAGAACAGTATGAGTTCTAGAAATTAAAAATGCAATAAAAGAAATAAAAACTCAGTAAAATGTTTAGAAATTAAATAAGAAATCTCCCAGAAAGGACAACAAAAGAGATGAAAATGGTTTCTAACTCTGAATTCTGTGTGTAGCCAAATTATCAACCAAGATTGAAGACTAGGTTAGTGTGAACTTTCTGTCTCTATAACTAAAAACTTAAGATAATCAACTTCTAAAGATTATCTTATTTTGACTGAGAGTTTTAGAGGTTTCAGTTCGTGAGTGGTTGACCCTATTGCTTTTGGGCCTTTGACAAGGCAGCACATTATGGTGGAAACATGTGGTGAAGCAAAATAGCTTATTCCTTAGTCAAAGAGCAAAGAGAAAGGAAGGGGAGGAGGTCATCAATGACCTAAAAGTCTTCCAATAGGCCCCACCTCTTAAAGGTTCCACTACCTTCTAGTAGCACCTCCTGGGGACCACGCCTCCAATACATGGGTCTTTGGGGGATATTTAAGATCCAAGCTATAGCAAGACAGAAAAAAAGGCATTTGTTGCAAACTTTTAAGATTTCAAGTATCCTTTTTCTAGAAACCACTGGAGAATGTGCTCTATCCAAATGAGTAGAGAAAAGAAAAACAAGGTATAGAAAATATTGTGTCTATTTTAGGAGTACAGGGCATCATTAGGATGGTAGCAAGAGGACTTTATAGAATGAAAATTACAGGCATCAAGTCCTGAGTGTGTGTAAAATCTTTAAATAAAATTTTACTTGAATAGTCCTGCATATCTATGTGTACATTGTCTCTGACTGTTTTCATATCACAAGGCAAAATTGAGCAGATATGACAGAGACCAAATTACCAACAAAGCCTAAAAGTTTTTGTTGGTTTTTTTTTTTTGAAATAGAGATTGAACCTAGGGGCACTTAACTACTGAGCCACATCCCTAGCCCTTTTTATTTTTTATTTTGAGACAGGGTCTTGCTAAAATGCTTAGGCCCATGTTCATTTGCTGAGGTTGGCTTCAGCCTCTAGAATCACTGGGATTACAGGCATGAGCCACCACGTCCAGCAAACCTAGGGAGTATTTTCTTTTTAGTCTTCTTAGAAAAAGTTGTGGACCCAAACTAGAGAACTGATTCTAGACAATTGGCTGGGAGCTTGTGGTTGAATTAGTTATCTGTACATAGAAAATTATATAAATAAAATTAATGTAATTCCTTAATCCAGGGAAAATAAAAATGGGCAATAAAGGAATAGAGGCCATAATTCACTACATGATTTGACTGTGAATGTTTGATTATAATACAGAACCTAAGTTTTACGTTAAATATCTCATTGAATTTACTGCATAGTTGATAAGGATTATGGAAATGATGCACATGTGTGGTGAGAATAGGAAGAAACTTGATCATCTTCTGTTGGCAGGAAGTTAGTAGATAAGATCTAACACTAAAGAATAAACATGGTGATAAATACCAAGTTAATTGGCCAAAAGAGGTGAATAGTGTTCTAGTAGCCATTTCTAATCAATGAAAGTGCCTACTCATGAAACCATTATTATGGTGTAATTACTGAAAAGCCACCAAATTTGGGCAGATTCAATCTGGTTGTTTGACTTTCCTGCCAAAGGACATTGCTAAAATGTATCATGATGCCTAGTACTTAGTGAAATGACTGAGCATATTCTGCTTAGCTGCATTTTAAAACTTAATCTGTTCTACATATTGCTCCCACCTGGAAATATAAAGACATAATTATTCTCAGTAATAATTTATAAATTAGGACAATATAAAAGTATATTTTCAGCCTCTAGAACTGAACCTAACACATGATAGGCTAGTGAATGTTTGAATAAACACATAAGTGAACTATAATGAACAACAACTTCAAAAGTCAAAAGGCCCGGGGCTGGGGTTGTGGCTCAGAGGTAGAGCCTGGCATGCATGAGGTGCTAGGTTCAATCCTCGGCACCACATAAAAACAAAATAAAATAAAGATATTGTGTCCACCTATAACTAAAAAATAAATGTTTAAAAAAAAAAAAAAAAAAAAGCCAAAAGGCCTTGAGAAGTTCAGACCAACCCTTAGAAAGCATTGATGGAGCCAGGCATGGTGCACACACCTATAATCCCAGTGGCTTGGGAGGCAGAGGCAGGAGGATCACAAGTTCAAAGCCAGCCTCAGCAAAAGTGGGGTGTTAAGCAACTCAGTGAGATCCTGTCCCTAAATAAAATACAAATATATATATGGCTGGGGATGTGGATCAGTGGTCAAGTGCCCCTGCTATCCTCTTCCCCGAAAAAAAAAAAAAAAAGCAAAGATATTTTCTATAAATTTATTCAGTTTTTCATTACTAAAGCTAAGTTGTGGTTCTAAATGATTTTCACTTTTGAATTAAAGAAGTTTGTCCTTTTTCTTCCTAACCCTTGATAGGATCTTTCCAGTTAAAGATGTACCCCTGGAGACTGATGACCTTGCCAATTGGCTTTATCAACGCTTTATTGAAAAAGAGGACCTCTTATCACATTTTTATAAAACAGGTACACAGTATTTTCTATTATGTACATTTATGAAATTACCAGAAATCTTAAAGGTAGGCTTTAGGGAAGATAGCCATTTTTCAAATCCTTAAATTCCCTAAAGTAATCAAAGTATTTCTGTATTTAAGATATGAAGACAAATTTATGTTAAGTTCGCTCTGTATTAGCTTGTGGGCAAAGGCAATGAGTATGATTTCACACAAAGGAGAGAGAATCAGTGAACAACTGTAGTCATACATGTATAATCATATGGGGCATTTTATAAATGAGACAGAATGTGTGTGTGTGTTGGGGTGGGGGGCTGGGGATCAAATCCAGGACCTTATATATGATAGGCAGGTTCTCTTAACACTGAGCTACATCCCCAACCCTACATAGTGGGATGTTTTATGAAGTAGCAAATAGCATAAAGTTTTGGCATTTCATCATATAATCTCATTGTAGCTATTCGAGGTCATTTTTAACTGACGTTTTTATTGGCTTATTCTTTACATGAAAGGATAACATTCATTTTTTAAGTTTTCGTGGATTAGAAACTTAAGTCTTTTATTCTTAAGAGGAAAAGAAATGTTTATGTAGTCTAAGGTTCTTTCTAAATATTCTCTGCACCCTATAAAAAATTAAAGTGCAGTGAAAACAAAATAGGAGGAGGGAAGAAGAAGGCAGAAAAAAGGAAGTTAGGAAAGAAGGAAATTACTATTAGTAGAACACCCACCCAGCCCCAGTACTACCAAAATGCTTTATGAATTGCTATGTTGTAGGCCTATTTTCTAGCTCCTTTATAGGGAGAAAAAGGTAAACAGAAAGTTGTTCTTTACCTGAGAATGGCCTTGGTGTTTTAGTTTAACAGAAAGCTGAGAAGGTATGGGTGATAAGAGACTACCAAGATCTCTACTTTCTCAACCTCAATTTCTTGCCTTCATATATTTGGCCTAAATTATAGTAACAATAGTAGAGGCCTCTTTTTAAGAAAACTATTTGCATATTAGACCTTGAAACTTGAAAGTACCCTCTGTAAATTGCTTGTGAGCAGCAAATCCCCTCTTGAATCAGCTTACCCTGGGAGATTATCAGCAAGGACAAAGATTGTTTGAATGCTGAAGAGTGTTAAAGATGACCTTAGGTAAAATTGCTCTGAAATGATTTGGCTTTCCAGAAAAGAATTTAGAGGCATCTGTTTGCTTTGTATTTTTCCTTTTTATTATTAAGACATATTTCATAAGGCCTACTGCTTTTTAAAAATATTATTGGTGTTATATAATCACTTTTTGTGGCAAAAAAAAATTTATTTTCAAATGGACTAGTATAAATTATATTGTTTCAGAAATTATTTGGTGTCAGTTTCACAGATCCTGTGTCCCAGCCACTATGGAAATGTCTCCAGATAAGGGGAAAAAGCTACCGAAATAACTGTTCTCATGCAGATTTTACTCCTGTGGAAGACAAACAGTAAAACTCTATAGATAGAGAAAAGGACAGATGAGACCATTACAGATTAGGGAAAATTTTAGGAAGGAAATAAACCTGTGAGTGATAAGGGCCAGGAGTGGCATTTTTTTTTTTTTTTTTTTTTTCTGATATGGGAAGGATTCACTGAGGAGGGGCATTCCAGCAGAGAGAATAAAGGCAAAGGCTGGAATGAGGAAGAACCTAGTGGCTTGGAAATTGTATTTCAAATGAGATCTCTTTTCAGGAACAATGGAAAGTTACAGAAGGCTTTCAAAAAAACAAACAAAAAGACCCCATGAGTCTCATTAAATTAATATTCAACTTTTATTGTAGGAGACCTGCCTTTGCAGTAAACAATATTTCTGTCTTGTCTTTCAGGAGCCTTTCCACCTGTCAAGGGTCAGAAGGAAGCTGTTTCCAGGGAGATGAACCTCAGCAACACGTGGTTATTTCTTATATACTCTTTTGCAGTGTTGTCAGCTTGTATGTGGTACAACATCATTGAGTATTTTTACCATTGCCTATTTTAGGAATTGACTTGGACTTGTCAAGGTCACCATAGGAGTTCAGACTTTCATGAGTGTGCATTATTTACATGTGCAAATCAGAATATATAAAAGAAGCGAAGGAAATTCAGTGGATGAATTAATATTTATCCCCCTTTGGGATATTTTAAAACTCTATTAAAATGAGGATCAGTAATATAATGACCTGCTGATATATTTTAAGAACATTTCATGTTTTAAAGAGATACATTCTACCACATATAGGCAAACATCACATTTGGAGAAGAGGAAATCATAAAAATCATCCTGAAAAACTGTCTGAAAGAAACTGTTGCCACAGGATCTACCTGGTCATTTAGTTCAAGCTCAGAATTACATCTCTCCTAGCTAGCAGTCCCTATTAGAGCAGTGCGCCACAGTGCCCACATCTCCACCCATTTGGGCTGTGGTACTAGTAGCCATGAGGGGAGGGAGCTGGAGGCACCTCCCAAAGAGTGTTTTCCCTGTTGCTTGAAGTAACAAACTTCAGTCCTTAGCACCTGACCAGGTGCAGTGTTGATATTCTCTGTGGGGAGGAACCAGTGTCCACTGAACACCTCCTGGCATAGGCTCTGATTTTATGAAGGCTAGCTCAGTCCAGCACCATGTTTACATGTGCTAATGCTTTCCTTTCCACCAGGGTAGGGTCGGGTGGGGGCATCACCCTGTTTCTCTTTTTGTATAGAAGGCATATTATAGATTGATAATTGTATTTTACAAAATGCACTTTTATCAGATGCCAATATAGCAAATGATAGTAACATAGCCTGAAGACAAAAGTAAGCCTCGTCAGTGAGTGGGCTTCCCGGGGGCTCTCCTGTCTCTGCAATTTTGCCCGCAGCTGCTGTCCAGCACCACCCTGCATTGGGCACCTCCCTGACAGGGTGACCCTATTTGTAACTAGAGGCTCCCTGTACCCCTCTTTGACATAGTATCACTAAATGCATTTGGGGATGGATGAACAAATTAACATAAAATATTTAGATGATCAATTTAAGGGAAAATAGACTAGTTCATTAGGAAAATAAGAACTAGAGCCAGACATTGGCTTCTACTGGTGACTGGTTCTCAAGTGGCTCCCCTCCATATCTGTATAGACAGCAGTGTGTTCCAGCATTATATCAAGGAGCTGCCCCTCTCAGGGTTGGTGTAACCAGGAGAGGCCTGCACAAAAGGCTTCCCAGTCTCTTCCAATTGCTTTTGAAGAGGGTAACATCAAGTTTCTGTTATTTCTAGAAAACTTTTTTTTTTTTTCCTTTTGGTCAGTATGTTTATGTGATGTACCTCACAGGAGAACCAAACTCTTCTCAAAAAAATGCTGGCCCTACATCAGTGTTGAAATAGAGAATGTTTTCAGTTTAGGGTTGTAAGATTAAGATCTAATAAGTCCGTGGTAGTTTTCTGTGATTTAAGCACTGTAGACTCCCCTGTTGTCACGAATTACACAAATAACAATTCTGAGAAGTAAGCTGTAAAATAAAAATAAAGGCTAATGTTTCTGTTTTCCAATGAACCAAAAAAAGATGTGAATTTTCCCACAGTTGTGTGGGAAAGATAAAGCAACACCAAATAAAAGCCCACAGCAGCTTCATCTTTAGGATAACTCAATATATGTGAAGGGGAAGGATGCATTAACTGAAATACCTCATTGAATATTATATTATACTATTAAAATGCAGAAGACAGTTTTGATATGTTTGGTTTGGTAACAATTGTTATAAAATGCAATTTTCTTGAAACTGAAGCATTTCATTATGTGTTCTACAGTGACAATGAGTTAGTGAGACCAGTCTCACTTGTAAGGTGTCAGTGATGATAGGAAGCCAAAGAGAAGCTCAGTGATGCTTCTGGTTGAGATCCAGCAAACATTACTTAATTACAAGATGAAATGAATTGTTCATTTGAGATATTAGCCATCTGGGGAAAGGTTGCTCACTCTTAAAAAATAGTTATGCATAGTCCTAGCTTATAGACCTTTCCCTCATTGCAAAGCAAGTCACAGGGTAGAGTGAACAGTTCTCCTATTTTTTAAAAAAAAAAAGTATACATAAATGTGGCTTAGAGCCATTTTTGACATCGCTGTGCTCCAAAGGAACGTGACACTGTTAAATATACTGTAACATTAAACTTTCCTGTAAGATGCTTTATTTCTCAAGTGCAGTATCATTTCCACAGTCTTTATAGATGTGAGTTAATTTTTGAAAATTGATCCATGAGTTGTAAATAGATGTGTATTTGATCTACCCTGCCCCTCTTTGATTCTTTCTAATATGTTCTTTCTCTTCGTTTGCAAATGTATTTGTTTGAGAGCCTTGATAGTGCTTTCCTTGTCAGTAACTGGAGTTCACCTGCTGTACTAGGAAATATAAAGAGAAAAATCAGTGTTCTTCTATGGCAATCGGGGAAGCAGCAATATGCCACTATACAGAGCTAAATAAAAATTCCTATTTGAACTTTCTTTGTAAAATGAGATGAAAGGAGGTCATATATTTTGTCAAGGGGAAAGAAAACAAAACTATGCCAGTGTTATACCAGTGGTTCTTTAGAATCTCAGCACTTCTTGGTCTCAGCTGGACTGCCTAGATTCCCACAGGAGATAGAGTTGAGAGCTCACTCTTGGGATCCTGGCATCACCAAGAAACAGTGATAGAGCATCTGCTTGGCCACAAGCAGATTCCATGACTGCAAAAGTGACCAAGCCAGCTAGTCACTCTTAACTTCAGAAACAATTATCGGTGATGAAATATACACATGATAGATGGACTTAAAAGCAATAGAGGGTAAAGAAAAATTACAGAGTAGAAAATGATGTTTTGGAGGAGCAAACTAGTTGGTTGAGAATTTAAACAGAAGATTTTTTTTTAAAAAAGATAGCTGAGTTCAAACCTGTCATTTCATTAAGTAGTTTTTGGTTTTTGATATTCAACCAATCCTTAATTTTTCACAGTAAAGGAACTAAAGATTACTGGAAAATTAATTACTGGATACTTAATCCAGTTATAAGTCATAAGGAAGCCAAAAATCTGATTCTTGAAGGAGTTTGAAGTTTTACTTTTCATCAAACTCTTTTTTCCTTCTAGGGATGCTTGCTAATTTAAAAAAAAATGATTTAAATTGTTTATTAGCTTTTTCTTGCCTGTGTATGTAGGACTGTTAATGAGTAGTGAAATAACATGGAAAGACAGAGAGCTATGAGGAAGAGGAAACTCCAAAGCCTGAATAATCAATGGGCTGGAAAAGGCATCCCTGATTATCAAGAATAGGTTGTACTGATATCGTTATCAGCCTTTTTATCAAAATGAAATCTTACATCACCTAGTGTAAGCTTCAGAACATCATCCTAGTGTTGCTGCCATCTGATGCTGAGGATGGCCCTTCATTCTTTGTTCATGTTGCTTACTTCTTGTGGATTTGTCTTAGTAGTGTTTTTTGACAATCACTTCTCTGAAGACTCTTCTAAACTAGTTGGTCCTGGTTATAATCATAGAATGTAGTCTTTAATCATGGGTAGTCTTCTTAGTATTCTTTTTTATATTTAAAAAGGAAATGTTTTATTTGCACTACTGAATAGGAAGAGTTAACTGTTTCTTTGTTCTTTTTCTGAAGTCACTACATAGGACTTCACTCCAGAGTTACCATTGAGTGTGCTCAGCTCTAGTCCACAAAGGATGGATAAAAATGGTTTAAAATATTTATATTTTTTCCCTTTTTTTTTTTGCCCTGCAGAGCTATGAGCTTTACATGTGTTAACATGCCAGGCAAAGTCAAAAAGGAGCACAGGGCAGCAGATATACTAGTTCATTTTATAAGGGGTAGAGACTAAGATGTTTGGGACCAAAACACCTACGTTGTGAAATTCTGTATCACAGAAGAGCCAGTGTACTCTGGAGCAGTTATTGCTTGGTGCTTTGTTGTAATCATTTTGCACCAGTCCCCAACAACTAGGAACTGGGCCCTAGGAAAATGCTGGAGGTGCTGATCTGTTGGGGGAAGGTGACTGTAGCCATATAGAAGATTAAATATGGGTTTTTCTGTAAGATGTTCATCTGAGGATTTTTACATTTAATATTTTTAAGACAGTTTAAAGAGCAAAAAAATATTAAGTGTATTCTAATTGCAAAGTATGCACACATTTTGAATGGCTTTATTTTTATTGTGTAAAACTGTTGGACACATGACTGTGATGCACAAATTCTTTACATGTAAAGAGTCTATGCATTTTACAGTAACTTATTTTATGATTGGGTAATGAGACAGTTATACTTTAAACTGCCATTATTTTTGTTAATTGCTTTCATTTTCTTTACAGTTATTACAAAGTTGTATTTATTTTATACAGATGGATTTTCATTTTCCTGATGCTGTAATGTTTACTTCAACTTGTTTGACCTTTCTTTGTATATCTGCATGTTGTAATGTATGAAAAGAATGAATGTAAAGGCTGTGGCAACTGTAATTAATTTTTGTAAAGGGCTGGTCACACATGGATCTGGTTTATGAATGCATTCGGGATGATTTTAATAACCAGGTTGCATTTTCAGAAATTTAGACATGAACACCAAAAGAAGCATTTTCTTAGCAAAAATTAATAGCTGGTTCTATTTTTTTTTAACCTAGAGAAAATAAAGTTGATTTTTTCCAAGTACAGTGCTTTAATTCTTAGCAGTGGGGATGGTCTGTGTCATACTGGAGCTCTTTGGGCATTAATACCTGTAGACCTGTGCTTAGGGCCCCTCCTGCAGAAGCATGCTGAGAAGAACAGGCTGAAACATCCAATGAGAAAACTCTGAACCTCCTTCCCTGGGTCAGAGGGTCTAACCTCTCCTCTTCATTCTCCAGGTGTGCCAATAAGTGTTTAAAGGTCCACTATCTCAGAAAAAAATATATATATTCATATATGTTACACAAATTTGTTATAAATTTTCCTGATAGCAAGGATGTGTAACACACACACACACAAAAAAAAAACAAAATAAAATATAAACATTGTATATAAACTCCACATAGCCAGTTGATTCTCACAAGATTCTTAGTTGCTTTTTTCTGAACCCTTTAGCCAACCTACAATTGCATTTCAACATGAGTTTAATTATGGTATTATATCCTACTCCACTTGCTCATCTCCCAGGAAATTTACTGTCATTCAATCTAGGATGTGATCTACTTTTAAATTCTTTCTTACCCATAATACAAGACCACTTTTTAGCTTTAGCACTAATTGTAAGTTTATATAATTTTAATAACAATTGTTTAAGAACTGCTGGCAAAACCCTGAAATTTAATGATTGGCCCTTGGGAGCCAGTTGTAGATGTCACCAGCACACCATTGCCCTATTCTTTTTGTTTCATTTTGTTTTAACTATTAATGTTGAATAAACTTCTTCCCGTTAATTTGCTCACTGTTCTGAGAAAATTTCTATTATTGACCCTAGCAGGGGATTGAAGGGTAGGAAAAGCATTAAGATCAGTCCTACCACATGAGCTTTAGATTTTGAGGAATCTGACAAAAGCAAACTTTGCCTGAAGTACAGGGGAAGTATATAGTTCTCAATTTGGCTTTAAGCTTTCATTTCTCAAAGTAAAGTAATTGTGGTATAGGCATCTCTAAGATTTTGTTTTAAGCATATAAAACCTCAGTTGTTCAGTTCCTTGTAGAATATGTTTGATCCCACTGAAAATTTTAAATGTTTTAAAATATTTTGCACAATCTACCAAATAAGTTCAATAGTTACAGTTCAGTCTACCTCTTTTTTCTGGCTGAATTTAGGCTACTGTTTTGGTGAAGTTCTAATTTCTTTTCCCCCAGACGTATTTTATGTAGAAGACAGAACAGATTGGGGGCAGAGGTGGAATGCAAATTTAAAGCACCCAGAGATCTATCGCTGACCAGCCCTATTCCTCATGAGTTGGAGTGGGGGGGGTTGTTTGTAATACCCACTTAATATGAAAATGTTCGTTTTTAAAATGTTTTTTCCTGCTGAAAAAAAAAATGTATTTTTAAATGGAAAAACAGAATCCTCTTTTGGCTCTAAGAAGTCAGCTGTGTGAACAGGCGTGACCATATCATAACATGCTGATATGATAGAAATCAATAAATTTTTACCTCTCAGGATTTGGTAACATTGTTCTTAAACTCTTATAGGCTTGAGGGGAAAAACAAAAAACAACAACAACAAAAAAAAACAACCTAAGTCTCTACAGTTTCTGTCAAATGGAAACAGAAATAAGAATGGATCTTGGGAGGAGGGTGGGACGACCACTGGAAATGAGGCAGGCCCCTTTCGTAATCAGAATACTCTTAGTTAGGTATGATTAAACCTGTTGTGCATAGGGAAAGACAAGACAGTGTTTTCTGCTAGAAAGCATGGACCATATTGTGGGGTGCAGACCTGGTCTCAGAATACTTTTTGCTTTTTAGGTGTCAGACTCAATGGAGCTGGAGATGAGGCTCCCACTCATTACTTACCTCAGGTGGGAGAGGACTCAGTCATGCTTGTGATTATAGCAGCTTAGCAGTGTCATGATAAAACATAAGGCTGAGCTACTACCCCTAAAATATCAATGGTTGCATCTTCATCACTTTGTTTCATTTTTTATGCAAAAAACTCCTGAAAGTCTATCTGCAGTTTTCTATGGATCTACACTCAGCTGATGGACGGTTGAGGGAAAAGAAAATAGATACTTGGAATGAAAGGGAGAGATCAGAAGAGCTTGAAGTGCCTGGAAGAAGAACCCAGGAGTGTTGGAAGACAAAGGGAAGGCCAGAAGCTGCTGTCCACAAACAGATGCGTACACAGAGATTTTTAAGAAGTATTCAAACTCATGGTTGTCAAGAAAATCTACTTCCATGTGAACTCTTAAGCATGCCATTCCTGAACATCACTCCTCATCTCTGAGAATCCTCCCGTTTCAGATAACTGCTCCCCATTTATAGGAGAAAGGCATACCTCCCAGCCATTCAGCAGTCCCTCCAGGATGCTCAACAAAGGAACAATTCAAAATATCGATGACACAAATGATCCTTTAAACCAAGGCATCAGTAAGCCACAATAGAACTTTTTGTCATTCCCCAATTTGTACACATTCTAGTAAGGACAAAGGATGGCATTAGAAATGGGGCATGTGGGCCTGTATTGGATGTGTTGAATTCTGATAGCTTTAATGTGAGCCAGTGAGAGCAAGGATAGCTTGGAGCTCCCAAAAGCATAAAGCAGAAACTACCGAGACTTCTTAGGGCATTGGGCCAAGACTGGCATGGTGACACTTTGATGCTTTCAATGTTGCATTCCTTTTGTCACAGGGTCAGTCTGATTCAGTTTGGGAGAGTCTATGAAAGGAGAAAGGACGTAAATACCCAGAGGCCTGGTTCATTGGGAGCCATCTTTGAAGATCAGCTACCACAGCAAAGCATTCCTTAGCTTAGAATAAAGACCATCAGTTAGGTCTAGAAGTTTCTGTGCTCTGGTCAGTTTGCCCATAACTTCCATTAAATGAAAATGTTGAGTTTCCAAATACTTTAAGAGGATTAAATCTGTTGTACTATCACTCAATCAAAGGACACCTATCTAAGAGAGGTTTTGTTTGAGAGTAATCTTTATTTTTTACACTGATTGATGCATGGCTCATTGGTCTTTGGGATTTTGGAAGTAGTAAACTTCAGAAATTGCCTTGTTTTTAGAATGGCACATTTCATTCTGGTATAGTTTTGATCAACTGCTGGTGGCATCGAATGGCATGGGTAATTGATAGAATTGTGAAGACTAGAAACAGCATTTCTCATTCAAATGTTTACCCTAAACAGCAGATTTGCCTCACTTCAGGTTTCTGTTTTTAGTAAATAACAATTAAATGACAAGGACTAAGTATACTTGTTAAGGGGTGATGAATCTAAAAACTTCTTTAATGTCCTCTTCCTCAATTTTAAAAGTAAACATAATAGTCCCCAAACCCTAAAGGATAATTTTTTATGTTTGCCCTCAGCTGTTGCAGAGCTACAGTTAGCCATTAAAAAAAAAAAAAAAAGTCTAAATCATGATTTATCATGATTTTAACTTTTTGAATGTGGAAGTGAAATGCATTTCGTTTTTGACTTTGCCTGGTGCGGTACAAGATAAAAAGAATGCCTTCGTTTCAGACTAAAGGGAATAAAGATTTCAATCTCAAAACAGTTCCTTTTATTTCTGATTTCCAGGTATAAGACTGGAAGTGGTTAATAAATTCTAGGTCATGATTGCATCTAGGGCTCGAGTGTCTTATTACACCATTCAATTCAAGGTCTTATCTTAGTACAAGCCCAGAGAAGAGCAGCAGAACCACTTCCCCAGCTCTTTTTATTTTTTATTTTGAGATAGGGTCTCACTAAGTTGCCTAGAGCCTCGTGTAAGTTGCTGAGGCTGGCATTGAATTCAAGATCCTCCTGCCTTACCCTCCTGAGTTTGCTTGTATTACAGGCATGTGCCACCGGGCAGATAGGACATTAGTACATTTTGCTGTGTGTCGGCCCAGGGGCTGTGTTTATCCCACCCCCACTGAGTTTAATGGAATGTAAATTATTCCCATACACAACTGTGCCTAAACTCCAACCTAATTGTATCCCTGCCATATAAGCTATTAATGTCACATAAGCTTTTAGGAACTCTGGGTCCTTTGAGTTTCTAAGGTAGACAGATATAATCAGCATAGCCAAGCTCCTAACCCTGCACACTCAGACTGTATCTGATACACCCAGGGCCCAGACAGCATCAAGAAAGAGCTCTGAGGTTGGAGAGGCAGTTAGGAACGTGAGAAGAGGGCATAAAGAGGAAATAGGATCTGCTAGACAGAAGACATTACATAGTCTTAATAGAGACCTATTTTTGCTTCTGAGACATGATGTCACTGGTGAAGACCTTGAACTAATTATCAAAAAGGAGGGAAATGTAATTTCTAGTGTTTGGGAGCTATCCACCAGATGATGGTTCTCTATGCATAATTCATAAGATCCTAAATATAAAACTGCATTGAAAGCATCCTAAAGCTTCAGGAAGGTGAAAGTAATATTGAACTGTTTTCTCTTTCTAGTTGCATAAGTCTCCAAAGTTTATATCTCAAGAATTGACATTTTATCTTCCAGTGTAAGTGCTCAGTGTTCGCTTCTTAGGAAGTGGGGTATCAGAGGAAAGGGGCAAATCAGAATCAAATATTGTTTATGGTTGTCAAGGTATCATGGTAGACTACAGAAGAATCTGAGGCAGAGCTAGGTCTGCAGGTGAGCTGAGTGATAGGAAGAAAGAGGTGCTGAGAACCTTTAAGGGCCTGTGATTTCCCCAGCCCAATGCTCAGCAAGTTGCCAACCCACCATTCACAGAATACCTGAAGAGCAACACCAGAAGGTGGGGATTCTAGGAGGGAGGATGCAGGGTGAAGTCAGATTATAGAAATGGTGTTTTAGAAGAGGTTTGGAACTGCTCAAGCCATTGTGCAGTGGGGAGCTTGCCTTGAACCACCACTCATGGACCCAGAACTTCAGAGTGTGTTGGCCTGAGATCAGGAATAAACTGGAGAAGTATTTAGAGCTGAATAGCCAGAGGGCCTGGTGGGTGGAGAGGCACACAGGCCCAGACTGATTTATTCTCCACTAGGCCTTGAAAAAGGAAGGTCAGGAACAATAGCAGGGCCACCTCTCCAGCCCCACTAGAGGCACCAGGACATTCTAGCACATGCAAGAGCCTCTCATTTGTTAGAGGAGGAATGACAGGCAGTGATATAGGTACTAAGACTGAAAACCACAGCCAGGAAGGAAGTGAGAGGCTTTGAGCTACTGAGGGTTTTTGTTCTGGGCTGCGGAAGCAGGAGAGCACTAGGCCTAACCAGCAAATGGGAACTGACAAGCTCAGACCCACACATCTCAGGGCAGTGCGCATGCCTGCTGGGCCCAATGGTGAGTCCACATGATGAGGCTCATTTCACCTAGACAGTCCCCTCACTGGGTGTAGCTAAGATCCTAACCCACGTGGTCAGACTTCATCGGTTATATCTAAGGCTCTCAGATGGTAGCAAGAAAAAGCCTGGAGGTGAGAGGAGCAATCTTCACCCCTGCACCCCACCTAGAAAACAGCAAGCCAAGGACAGCCCTTCCCATGGCTCAGGTCCTGGGACCTGAAGTCTCAGTTCCTCACCCCACCCCCACCACCTGCTCAGGTGTCTGCTGTATGAATTGGTGAGGATTGGTGAAGGGTTCAGGATATTATTTTTATTTTTTGTAGATGGATATAATATATTTATTTTTATGTGGTGCTGAGGATCAAACCCAGTGCCTCACAGTGCAAGGCGAGTGCTCTACCACTGAGCCCCAGCCCCTGCCCCCGGTTCAGAATATTCTCAATGAATATTTTTCCTCTGATGTGGGGGTGAAGTAAAAGCCACTTGGTTCTAGAAGCTTCTGTGCCTTTCCTTGATTGGCACTTTTTGGTGTGTGCTCTGCCCTCTGTCTTCCATGTTGATGACTCTGGTTGTTGGAGCTTCTTGTTATACTTTTGCTTTGTTTGTGAATTTTCCATGTTTATTCCTTGGGGTACTAGGAGAGGGAAGTTCTGGGATCCCGCTCTATTCTGTCGCCTTTAAACTGAGGTTTAAAACATTTGAAATGAATGCATAAAAAGGCTGCTTTGTCTCATACTGTTTAGGGCTGCTATTCAAACAAAGCATATCTGAAAAACAGACATACCATTGCCTACATTCTGGCTGGGTGCAGAGGTGCATGCCTGTAATCCCAGCAGTTGGGAAGGCTGAGGCAAGAGGATCATGAGTTCAAAGCCAGCCCCAGCAACTTAGTGAAGCCCTAAGCAACTTAGTGAGACATGGGATATGGCTCAGTGGTTGAGTACCCTGGGTTCAATCCCCAGTACAAAATAATAATAATAATAATAATAATAATAATAATAATAATAATAATAATAATAATAAATGTGTGTGTATATACACACACACTGTATATTATATATACACAAATATACATAGCCTAGGGAGGGAAATAATTTTATTACAAAGAATGAGAAGTTTTCTCTGCCCCACTCTATATACACACACCATTTTTGTTGTTGTTTTGTTTTTAATTTGCTGTACTGGGAATTG